CATATGGGTTTTGGGGGGCAGATGTGTGCAGCTGGTGGTTGCGGAATATGGAGGAAGATTCAGAAAGTGTAAAGTATCTAGAAAGTAAATTTGAATCCTTACAATTTTATCATTCAATGAGTTGTAGAATGTCTTTATAAATATATATTTTAGAAAGAGAAGTTAGAGGGGCACCTGGGTGGCTCAGTCAGTTAAGCATCTACCTTTGGCTCAAGTCATGCTCCCGGGGTCCTGGGATCGAGCCCCATGTTGGGCTCCCTGCTCAACTGGGAGTCTGCTTTTCCCTTTCCCTCTCCCCCACTCCTTTCTGCTTCCCCTGCTCATGCTCTCTCTCTCTCTCTCTCTCTCTCTCTCTCTCTCTCTCGTCGTGCACGCTATCTCTCGTTGTCTCTTTCAAATAAATAAATAAAATCTTAAAAAAAAAAGGAAGAGAAGCTAGTTCTCCTTCATAGCAAATAGAAATGGACTCTAGTAACAAGGATTACATATGTATGTTTGAGAGGCAGGTATTAAAATGTTCACACTGCAACTCACATGTGCAAGAAGGGCTAAGAAGGATAACTTCCTAATATCTCTATGACCACAATGACCATAATAAGACCATAAGCCCAAACTGGAATACTTTTGAGAACCGAAGGAGGGAACTTGAAATAACTATACTAGGACAGCAGTCCTAAATTGGGAGTGTCCTGGGCAAACTGAGAGGCAGAACCACCCTCCTTACAACTAAAGGACCTTTTTAGTTGACAATAAACAAGCAAGCATATCAAACCTTTATTTGGAAATTACAATTCAAGCTCACCTATGTAAAATCCTTTTTGATTTTAAAGTCATTGTCAGATGAATATTTAGGCAATTTATAAGTCAAAGAATGGGTGCTAACACATAGAGAAAACTAGGTTGGGCACTGTTCACGGTTGCCAGCACTTCACACATGTGAAGTCATTAAATCCTCAAGCAAGAAACTACAAGATGGGTATTAATATAAGTTCTCAATTTATAGTTGAAGAAATCAAGGCATGTCAAGTGACATGCCCAACGCTAGCTGTTGACCTAGTACGTGCTAGAGCCAGGATTCCGATCCAGGTTGTCTTGTACCAAGACTTATGTCCTAATATATATAGACCTAATTGCCTTGCAGACTCTAAGTCACACCTTCCTTGGCTTCTAAATTTGAATTCCAGTTAAACAATGAATAATTGTTTAGCAACTATGCCCTATGTAATGTTCGAGTCAACACTTCTTTTTCCTAGTCGCTGGAAGAACTTATATATCCTGTTTGCATGGGTGTGAGCTCCCAGTCTCTGTGGTTTGGCCAATACCCTTGATATATCTGCTAAAGTGTCTTCTGTGGTTGTGTAGCTCATGGACCATTTTCTCAACAGAGCCCATGGTATTTCTGACCAGGTTCAGTTCTGCATTTACTCCTGATAATGCTGCAGATGCCCAGAGTCCCAGCCTCTTCTCCTTCCCCCTTCAAAATATGTGCTTCAGTATTCATATGAATATTGCACATATTATGGACTGTTTGGAGAATACGTAAGAACAGACTTTAAAATGACCTGGGAAAAAGCCCCATCTCATGTGGGAAAATAGTTTTTGGCCGTGTGTGATAAAATCAAAATGTCACCATAACACTGAATCTCTCGTTGCTCAAAAATGGACTGTCTTATATATGAGGGACTGCGTATAAGGAAAAACTTGCTGAGATCTGTTAGCAGTAACCAAAAAAATTAAGCAGATCTTTTTTTCTCATTAGGCTGTAATTTCCTGTCAATGCCCCTCATTGCTCTCCATCTAAGACCACATTTTTCTTACTACCCCCACATTTTCTTACTGCTCAAGGTAGGCAAGCAGTTGGGGTACAGCTAAAGAATTCTGGCTTTCAGCTCCAGATCTACACACAATTCTCAGAGCCTTAGTTTCCTTTTTTTTTTTTTTTTAAGATTTTATTTATTTTAATGAGAGAGAGCAAGAACAGCAAAAGGCGGCAGGTCAGGGCAGAGGGAGGGAGAGAAGCAAACTCCCCACTGAGTAGGGAGGCTTGGTGGTACAGCAAGATGGGGGCTGGATCCCAGGACCCTGAGATCATGACCTGAGCTGAAGGCAGATGCTTAACCACTAAGCCACCCAGGCACCCCTCCTAATTTCTAACATGGGAACAATACTACTACCTGCCACACAAAGTTCTTTTGAAGTTTAAATGTAAAGTGGTAAGCAAAACATATAATCTTTTAAATTCAGTTCAAGGTGATAATCTTGCTTATTTTGTTGACTCCTCTTTCTCATGGCACATGTAGCAGGCAGCATAGTGGCCTCCCCAAAAGACACATTTACCTGGAACTTGCATAGATGAGCTTATTTGGGAATTGGGTTTAGACCCCCAAAGATCTTGAAATGAGATCATTCCAGATTTAGGATGGACCCTAAATGCAATGGTAGGTATGCTTAGAAAGGTTGAGGGAGGTTTGAGACACAGAGATACTATAGAGAAGGCATGTGGAGATGAGTAGAGATTGGAGTTGTGCAGGTACAAGCCAAGGAACATCTGGATCCACCAGAAATGAGAGAGACAGGGTGGATTCTCTCCCAAAGTCCTTGGAGAATTCCTGCAGACCCTTGATTTTGGACTTCTGGCCTCTACAACTGTGAGAGAAAAAATGACCTCTTCTTATCTAACCAGTTGTGGTGATTTATTGGGCAATCTAAGGAAACTGACACAGCTCATGCTCAGTCCATCAGTAAATCATGACAACTCAATCCTCAAAATATATCTAGACTGGGGCACCTGGGTGGCTCAGTGGTTGGGTGTCTCCCTTTCGCTCAGGTTGTGATCCCGGGGTCCTGGGATGGAGTCCCACATCAGGCTCCCTGCGGGGAGCCTACTTCTCCCTCTACCTATGTCTCTACCTCTCTCTCCTTGTCTCTTATGAATGAATAAATAAAATCTTTAAAAAAATATCTAGACCATGCACCACCCTTCCCCCCTCCCAATTAGCTACTCAAGCCACCAACGGGGCATTACTGGCCATCCTGTGTTATTCCTTAATGCCCCTACAGTCAGAACAATCAGAGAGTGATTTAACACAGAAGTCAAATCTTGTCCGTCATCCTCTCAAAACTTTCTATTTCCCATTTCTCTCAGACTATAACCTAAAGGTCCTACTGAGGCCAGCAAGGCCAGCAGATATGATCTGGTCCTGCTCTCTCTCTGACCTCATTTCTTACCACCCAGTCTCAGTTTCCTTGTTCTGCAAAGGTGCCAAGCGCCCTCCCTTAGAGACTTTGTGTGTCCTTCCTTCTAGCCGGATAATCACAGGCCTCTGCTCAAATCTCACCACCTCACAGAAGCCTTGCTTATCCATCCTATCCAAAGTGGCCTATTACTGTCTATAACAGATCGGTTTATTGGTTTTCCTGAAAGTGCCCATCCTAAACAGTCTGTTTTCCTGTCCACAGCCTCTCCCTCTCCCAAGAAAATGAAAGCCTCCTAAGCGTCAGGACCTTGTCTGTCTTGTTCATTCTACATTTCCAGTATTAATGCTCAGTACATTGCAGCCACTAATAAATATTTGTTGACTGAATGAAGAAAATAGACCTTATAGCTATTAAGGGTGTCGACCAAAGAGGATGGAGATAGTGACTACTTTCAGCCCCGCCCAAAGAGAACTTTCAGAAAAGTAACCTAGATAACCACCCACACACATTCTCTATGGATAGGATAAGAGTCACCACCCAAAGGAACAACCCATTGCAGTTGCAAAGGAAGATCCGAAGTCAGGGCATAGTTGAATACTATCAACTTTTTAGTGAGGCATTATAGAATGCTCACACCTGTCAAGTCCAAGAGATCCATTAATGTGAAAACTCTAAGTGGATTCCTAAGAGAATTTGGAAGCAACAAAAACAATTTTTCATGTGTTCAACGCTCAATGGTTTAAAAGGTGCTTTCATACTTTTCATTTTGACTTTTAGTCTCAGAGCCAAACTCAGACTTGTTTTTTTGTTTTTTTTTTTAAGATTTTTAAAATTTATTTGAGACAGAGAGAAAGAGAAGAGAGCACAAGCAGGGGAAGTGGCAGAGGAAGAAGGAGAAACAGACTCTCCTATGGGCAGGGAGCCTGAGGTCGGGCTTCATTTCAGGACCCTGGGATCATGACCTCGGCCCAAGGTAGGCGCTTAACCGACCGAGCCACCCAGGCACCCAACAAACCCAGGCTTCTCAATTCAAATTCCTTATTTTCCTCTATTGCACACCATTCACTTACTTACTTAATAATGTACGTTATTGAGTACGTACTGTTTCAGGTACTGTTTTAAATGCAGCACGTAGGGTAGGGTTAGAAAGGTAACTTCTGCCTTCGGTTTTTCACTTAAATAGAAAAAAGAATGTGCACGTACTGTCGTTGGCAAAGAAGTAACAGTAGCTGCTGCCCTTTCCCCGCCCGCTTTTTGTGTCTCCGTAGGCAACTGCTGTTATCTGGAAACCTTTGCACATCTGCAAGTCCCCAGTTTGTGACGCGGGGTCTTGCCTGCCAGGTGGGGATTAGACCAGAAGACCTTGGCTGGCTCCTCTCCTTTCCGCGGGCGGCCACCGCACAGGATAAGTGAGCTACACCTGCCAAGGAGAGCGCCGTTCTCGTGTGCAGGGCTGTGCAGTGGGGAGGGAGCATGACCTTGCTACGGGAAGCGCTTTCGGACTCGGCCAGCGCGGGGCCCGCGGGCAGCAGCACGCCCGAGGTTCTCGGACGGGAGGAACCCGCCTTCCGGGATGGGCGGGCCCAGACTGGGATCCCAGCGGGCGGGGCGGAGCGACGCGAGGGGGGCGGAGCGAGGGGCGGGGCCAGACCAGCCTCCCGGGGGCGGGGCGAGGGCGGGGCGAGGGCGGGGCGAGGGCGGGGCGGCGCGAGCCGGGGCTCCCAGAGGCCGGGGCGGAGCGTGCGCGGTCGACGTGGCAGCCGCAGGGGCGTGCGCCTCCGGTGGCCATTTTGGAGGCGGGGACGCGCGGCGGCGAGCTCCGGCCGGCGTCTTCGTGGTCTTCTCGGAGCGGTAGTCTGAGCGCCCCGAACTTCCTGTCCCGCACTTTTCACCTGCCACGCAGACAGTCTGTCGGGCCCCCAGGTGAGCGTCAGCCTGGCAGCGACGCGGGTCCGTGCGGGCGGCGGGACGGGATGCGGGCGCGGGCGGGCGCAGTCCCTGTGCGGTGGGCGGGCCGCCGGCCGGCGCCGCGGGACGGTTAGGCTCGCGTCGGAGCGCGGCGGTCCTGGACTCCCGGGCGGCGGCTCGCGGGCCTGCAGGGTGCGGCCGGGGCACGGGGGCCTCGGCCGAGCGAGCAGCCCCTGCCGGTGCGGGCCGCGGGTCTGGTTCCGGCCCTTCCCTCGGGGCGCGGACCGGGCCGGCGCCCCTGCGGCTGCCGCCTGGCCCCGCCTCCCGGCGCGCCGGCGGTCGGAGCGGGACCGGCGGCCGGCGCCCGCGGACCTTAGCCCGGCCCGGCCCAGCCCGGCCTGGCGACGTGGCACAGCCTGCGGGGAGGCCGCCGTCCCTAGGCACGGGGTTTCGGCCCTTCCCGCCTTGCCCGACTCCTGGGTTCGCTCCCCGGGAGCGGCAGAGGGGAGTAGTCTGTTATCCCCTAGGTGTGCCGCGCAGCTCTGCAGACGTTTTTTTGCATTTCTGCTCTTTGTCCCGGGACCGGCTTCAGGCAGATTTGCGAGATAGCTGCACTCCCAGATGGGCAAAATTCGTATCCGTTTCTGCCACTCAGAGTAGGTGTTTTTGAGAGGTAAGACGTGCTTGCCTGTGAACATGACACGTTTTGGCGTTCCGGTCTTTCTCCTGTAGGTCCACTCTTTCCTTCAGTTAACGTTTTAGGGAAGTTTATTTTGGGATCAGGGCTGAGAGCGCAGAGACAAAACTCCTCTTGCTTTGGCGCTCGTTACTGTCAGAACGTCGGTAGTTTTTGCGTTTAATGTTTTTACTTTGATCAAAGCTGCATTATTCCCTTTCTTTTATTGTATTCTTATCAGTAGCCATTCACTTTGTAACAGAAAAAACCACAGTGGAAGCAAATTGAAAGAGGAGGGTCTGACTGACCAGAGACTGAGGACTCCCATTTGCTAAGTCATTTCGTCACTTTCTTTAATGTTCATACGTTAATAGTGTTTTTTTTTTTTTTATGCTGAGACTTACGCACTAAAACCTTTACCAACTCTCACACTTCACTGTTACTTTATTACAGTAGCTTTTCTTTAGTGGAAGGCATAATGTTTATGCGCACAAAATTTACCTAATAAAATCAATAAGCCATTTCTTAGTATGTCTTTTAAGATCGAAAGAAACTGATCCTTTGTTGTAGGTTATAAGTAGTTTGCGTTGCACAGGTTATTTTGCCAACACACATTAATTTTAGGGGTCAAGATTATCTTTAGACCAGACTTCCACTGGCCAGTGTAAAGGATTTGTTAGCATCTGTACAGAGGAAGATGGGGAGATGAAAAGAGGTAGCTTCGACTGACTAAGTCCCCCAGAAGGCCATCTGTGTTCCAGGTTATCTCCCTATGGCGGCGAGTGGATGTACTGAGTGAGAAGATGATGCCTCCCTAACCCCTGGTCACTACTTAATTCCGTATATGTTTGCTTGACATTTACAACCAAACTCTGTGAAAGTGTTGTGTATTCCTAGCTCACTTCGTACTCCTCGGTCCATTTAAAAGTGGCTTCTAGCCTTTCTCTTCCCATGGAAATAGCTGTCACTGTGTTCGTATCTTCACTTTGGAGAATCTTTGCATTTTTTCAGATATCATCCTGTTTTGGCATTTCTGTAGCATTTGATTACTGCTACCCATTTTCACCTTGAAATTTCTTTGGCTTTTGGACACCACAGTCTCCTGGTTTTCTCCTTTTTGGTCATCTCACTCTTCTGTGCAAGCTCATCTGCCAGGCAGTTTTTCAAGGATTGGTCGGATCATTTTTTTCTTTTCACTTGATATTCTGTTCTTCGAATACCTCATTCCAGAACATGACTTTAGAGACTGAATAAACTGAAGAAACCTACACTTACTGCTAAAACTCAGACCACGTCAGTGTCTCTACTTGAGTGTTTCAAGGAGCTTAAACTCAATATGTTCAATTTTAAACAGTGCATAATGCCGCTTCCCAAAAAAGAAAACGTCAACACCGTGACCTTTTTTCATATTCCCTATCTTAATGAGTGGCATAGCCATCTATAAGTTGTGTGAGTGATACCTCTGCCCATGGTCCCTAAATCCAGTTTTTTTTTTAATTTTTATTTATTTATTTTTTTTCCCCAAATCCAGTTTTTGAAGCTACCTATTCTTTGCTATTCCCTCTGTCATCACACTAGTCTAGGCCAAAGCTGCTCACTCTTGGCATTATTGATATATGAGGTCAGATAATTCCTTGTTGTGAGGGCTTTTCTGTGCATTGTGGGATTTTTAGTTGAACCCCTAGTCTTTACCTCCTAGATGTTAATAGTCTCTCTAGTTCTGACAACCAAAAATGTCTTCAGACATTGCCTAATGGCCTGGAAGGCAGGATTACCTTCCTCCCCTCCCTGTAGTTGATAGGCACTTAGGTGTTACTAGTTCCTATATAAACTAATTCTATCCTTCTTTTTTTTTAATTTTTATTTATTTATGATAGTCACACACACAGAGAGAGAGAGAGAGAGCAGAGACACAGGCAGAGGGAGAAGCAGGCTCCATGCACCGGGAGCCTGATGTGGGATTCGATCCCAGGTCTCCAGGATTGGGCCCTGGGCCAAAGGCAGGCGCCAAACCGCTGCGCCGCCCAGGGATCCCTAATTCTATCCTTCTTAATAGTCTCTCTGCATTTACTCTGCCCTGTGTCCCAATCTGCATACTTTGGTCAAAGAACTGTTTTAAAAACACAAAAACGAATTGCCAAAAGCTGGAATTATCCTAAATGTCCTTCAATAGACCAATAGGTAAACTGTGGCACATCTATAAAATGGAATACTCGTCAGCAGTTTCTTAAAAATGCCAACTGGTAATACATCCAGCAACTTGGATGGATTTCAGGACTTTTCGTTATATTGACTGAAAAAAAGCCTATATCAAAATGTTCTATGCCATATGATTCTATTTAGGTAACATTTGTTAAATGAGAAAATGATAGAGAACAGTGTGTTGCCACAGCTTGTGGTTAATGGAAGGCTGTGACAAAGGAGCACCACGAAGTAGTTTCTTTAGGATGATGGGACTGTTCTGTATCCTGATTGTGCAGTTAGTTCCATGAGTCTTTGCATTTGATGAAACTTCATAGAACTACACATACACACGTAGAAACACACATATATGTAAAAACAGGTGAAAATCCAAATAAAACCGCTAGTTACTAGTACCGCACCAGTGTTAATTTCCGGGGTGTGATCTCTGTACTGCATTTAGGTATGATGATCCTGTTGGTAGGAGAAGCTGGGTTTAGGATTCTTCGGAACTTAGGTCTATTTTTGCATCTTCTTGCGAACCTAAAATTTCTTCAAAGAAGTTAAAAGAGGGATCCCCTGGGTGGCTCAGCGGTTTAGTGCCTGTCTTTGGCCCAGGGCATGACCCAGGATGGAGTCCCACGTGGGGCTCCCCGCATGGAGCCTGCTTCTCCCTCTGCCTGTGTCTCTGCCTCTCTGTGTGTGTCTCTCATGAATAAATGAATAAAATCTTAAAAAAAAAAAAAGTTAAATGATATGTTATCCTCAGCTTGAATGCTGAATGGTGCCTTTCTGTTCTTAAAGAACCCACGTCTTTGATGCAGTTTTTAAGGTTTGACACAGTGTGTGTTCTTACCTGTGTCTCCAGTCTTCTTCTTCTTTTTTTTTCTGTTCCTTGCCATATGGGTTTTCTTGAATATGTCTTGTTCCCTCTACCTTATAGGGCTTGTATACTTACCATATATTCACTTTCTCCGGAACCTGCCCTGCTTGCTTCTTTTTCCTTGCTTAATTAAATTCTATATACCTTTCAGAGCTCTGCTTATCTGTGGCTTCCTTTCCTCACCTGAAAACCATATTCCTCTCAAATAGGACCATGTTCTTACCCTCAGAGCACATAATTAAGGTTACATTTCATTGTACATTGGTATTACTTGCTCCTCTCCTGTACTGGAGGGTAAGTGTCTTGTTTGTTTTTGCTTACATTGTATGTCCAGAGGGGCACCAGGACAGTGCTTGGCGAGCAGTTGACCTTCACTGAATATTTGTTAAATGAATGAACACATCAAAATCAAAAACAGAAGTTTTATTTTTTTGATTTTATACTTAAGACAGGCTTGAAAATTTGTAATTTTTAAGGAAATTTTCCCATGTTTCTTGTAATCCATTATTATGTTAGAACCCTGCTATCTAGTTACCATATAACATTTTTGCCGAAGTTAGTATTTTTACAATGTGAGATATAACATTACTAAATATGATTTAAAATGTGAACTAGAGACTTTGGAAATTGAGCACATTTCAATTTTATTTTCATGGTAACAGAAATAGGCCACATATAATGCTTTATGGGGAAAGAAGAAATGTTTAAAAAATACTTTATTTTAAACATAATACTGAAAATTTAGGTAAAAGTCTAACATACATTCATGTGGCAGAAAATTATATTAGTAATTTACTGTTTGAAATTTATGAATTAGTTAACATAAAATTACTTTCCAGTTATAAAGTATGTATATGAAAATGTTATGTTCATATTACATGCATATCAAACACTGTCACAGACTGCTTTCCTAGGAATTTTGACAGATCCTTTATTCAGAAATAAGTGGCATTATAATTCATATACACAAGCCTTTGTGTCTTGTTGATTGTTTTCTAAAATTATTCTTGAAAAATACATGATTACAGTATAATATATATTACCTTTCTCTATTTTTACAGTAAACTTATTGAAGGAAAATGATGGAAGAGAGTGGAATAGAGACAACCCCACCGGGGACTCCTCCACCACATCCTGCAGGACTGGCCACAGCTGCCACGTCTTCCACCCCACTTCCTTTAGGTACATGGCATCGCCTTGCAGCTGCTGTGTCTGGAGGGTAGTAGAGACACTATTAACTTTTCTCAGAGTCAAGTAAAATAAAAATAAATTTATGAAAACTTCTCTGATCTTTCCCAGGAGAAGGGAAGTGATCTTTTAGTTAAGGCCAAAGTATGTTTTGCTTCGGGTAAACTTTTGTTCTCTATATTCCTCCTCTTATAACAAAAGCATACTGAAGAGCAGTTACTAGTTTTGTTTCATGTTCTATGACTTGATGATGATTAACCTTCTGCCCAAAATTTGTGAGTTTGGGTGTAGGTTTTTGTGCTTAAGTCAGCAAGGGGTGAAAAATGGCTGTTTTCTTGAAAACAGAGCAAAATGAGTGAAAACACAAAGATCTGCTTCTGAAAGGAATTGTGACTGAATTTTATGTAGCTGCTGCTTTTATGTAGGGGATTCAAAGTCTTTTGCACTTAATCATGTTTGTTGTGTACTTTAGATTACACATTTAAAAATAATTAGTGGGTTATGGTCTGTTACATTTTCAAATTTTGCAATATAAAGGAATGAGATACTTGGGAAATTAAGTGTAAAGTATTTCTAATTTAATGAGTTGTTTTCCCCCTCTCCCCATCCTCTAGCCACAGCCGGTTCTTTCTCTTCTCCGAATGTGTCATCCATACAGCCCCTACCACTGCACACCTACTCCAGCCCTCCGCCGGCCCTCCAGCCCTCCATCCCGCCTGTGCAGCCTCCAGCGCCCTTGTCACTCGCACAGCCTGTCTCAGTACCTTCTGGTCCAGCCCTAGCGACTTCTGTCCCCCTTCCTGTTTCTCCGCCACCTGCTGCTGCCTTCGGTAATCCTCCTCTGGCTCACTTTCCACCTTCATCTTCTACCCCAAGTACTCTTTCATCTGCACCCTCTTCTGGTCCTCCCACCTCCGGATTTTCTGTTGGGGCAGCTTATGACATCACAAGGGGACATGCTGGAAGAGCTCCCCAAACACCCCTGATGCCATCATTCTCTGCACCTCCGGTAACAGGTAATTCTCTCTTACTGATAAATGGCTATAGCTAATGTTTAAATGTGTTTTTTCTGAATAACTGCTTTATTGATACTTTACATGCCACACAATTCACCCCTTTAAAGTATACATTTCAGTAGTTGTCATGGTACTTACAGAGTTGTGCCACTATCACTCTAATCAGTTTTAATCACCTCAGAAAGAAGCCCCATACTTACAAGCAGCCACTCCCTTCTGGCTCCCGATGTTCACAGCCCCAGACGACCATTCATTTGTTTTCTGTCTCTATGAATTTACCTGTTTTGGACATTTCGTACAAATAGAATCTTAACAATAGATACAGGGTCTTTTCTGACAAGCTTCTGTCACTTAGAATTTTTTTTTTTTTTTAAGATTTTATTTATTTGTTTGAGAGAGAGTGGGAGTGTGTGTGAGTAGGGGGAGGGGCAGAAGCTTATTTTTAATTAAGGTTTGTCCATGTTGTAGCATGTGTCTGTACTCTTATTTTTTATGTCTCAATATTCCCTCGTATGGATTTTCCTTCCACGTTTTATTCATTATGTCAGCTGATGAACTTTTGTGTTGTTTCTACTTTTCAGTATTATGCATACTGTTTTTATGAACACTGGTGTATAAGTTTTTGTGAAAACATATTTTCATGTGCCTTGGGTGTTTAAGTAGACATGGGATTGCTTGCTTTTGAGAAACTGCTAAGCTGTTTCCCAAAGCAGTTGTACCATTTCACTTTCTCATCAACACTGTTTCTGTATTTCTGCACCACCACCACCACGACCACCGCCCCCCCCCCCCCGGTTTGTTTTTTTTAAACTTTTTCTTTTTGGCTGCCTTTCTTTTAACTCATGTCTTTATTTTCTGAAGTTTCCTACTCTCATGTTTTGACATTTAAGTTATCAAAATAAAGCTGAGCTGATGTTAATTAGTAAATGATAAATGTTACGTGTTGTTAAATGTAGTGTTTTAGTATATGTAGTGTCAGACAAAATTCCAAAAATTTGTTTTAATATTTTGTGTACTTATAGAGAAACATCAAGGTGAAATTTGAGTTTTTTTAAAAGATTTATGTAAAAAGTTATCAGGATAAGAATGTCCTGGAAAAAATTTAAAACCAAGGCTCATGTTTGCCTTTAATTTATGATAATAGGCTGTCTCCTTTTCTAAATCAATTACACCTATTTTTTGACTTCCCTGGAATGGTTGTTGGAAACCAGCAGCAAAACTTATTCCTTCTCATCTTTTGCCTGTTATTTCTCAGTTTAGGAAATGAAGCAACTTTGTTTTGATTTTTTTTTATTATCCAACTTTGCTTATCTACCTTAACAAGTTTTTTTGCATAGTACAGGTATTATGTCTATATCTATGAGTATGTGAATTTTCTTCTTTGAGTTAAAGTAGGGCATATGGAATATTTACTAATTGTTAGCACTTTTATATGAGGAGCTTGGGTGCTCACATCACTTAGTTTTATGCACTGAAAGGATTAGAATTACAGTTGGCCACATCCAAGTGCTAAGTAGAGCCAACAGGAAGTACTTTTTTTTTTAAGATTTTATTTATTCATGAGAGACACAGAGAGAGACAGAGGGAGAGGGAGAAGCAGGCTCCATGCAGGGAGCTCGATGTGGGACTTGATCCTGGAACCGCAGGATCACTCCCTGAGCTGAAAGTAGATGCTCAACCACTGAAACACCTAGGCATCCCCCAGGAAATACTTTTTGATATATATTTTGTCATTTCAGGACACTTGGCTTAAGAAGCCTTCAGAATGGCAAGAAATTTCTTCTTTAGGATTTTGTTTCATTTGTATTTTATAAAGGTTTAGGTAATTATTGGAGTATGTAACTCAGTCTTGAAACACTTCAGTGTATATTTACATTATTAAAGCTATTTTGAGCTATTCATCTCCTATAGTGTATCGTCTTTTTATAGGAAATAGTTTATGCAATAAATTAACATATATTAGAAATTTTGCCATTTACCAGGTATGTTGCCGACTCCCATTACTCAGCAAGCCAGTTTGACATCTCTGGCACAGGGACCTGGAACCACATCAGCCATTACTTTTCCAGAGGAACAAGAAGATCCTCGAGTTGGTAGAAGTCAGGATGAAGCATCTGCTGGTGGGCTCTGGGGTTTTATTAAGGTAAGGGGTATTTAGTTTAAAAGCTATGCTGAACTCTTTAATTCTGAAACTATTAGATGTTCATTAGAATAATCTTAAAAATCTAGGATGGTATAAGGAAAGAATAAAAATTCTTTTTATTCTAATTACCAGTTTTCTATAGTTCTTCTCAATCTTTCTTATGTGCATATCTGTGTAGATGCAATTTTTAAAAATAAAAGTCAAAATGGGGTAGTGATATGTGGACAGTGTTGTGTCTTTTGTTTGCCTTTATCTAGCATATATCAGGAACATCTTCCATTCATAAGTATTCTTCAGAAATATTTTTTTTTCTTTGTGGCTGCTTTGCCCTTCATGCTATGGCATTTATTTCCCATATTTTGCTAATGTACTTCAGCATTCTCTAATGGTAATTCTTAACAACTATGATGAGCCCTCTTGTATGCAAATCTTTATGCTCATCTCTGTTTTATTGAGGTTAATTTCTCATGAATGTCAGTGAAAATTTACAAAATTACTGATGATGAAGATGACTGTCCAGAAGGGTTATACCAGAATAGACTGTCCCAGCATTTTTCATTTGCCAGCACTAATTATGAACTTGAAATAGAATATTTTCTAATTTGATAGACAAAAAGCATACCTCATTTTAATTTGCATCTCTTGGTTACTAAATTTGAACATTTTTCATGTGATTTTTTTGTCATTTTTTTCTTTTGTGAAGTCTAGTTTTCTTTGCGCATTTTTGAATTAGGATGATTTTCTTTCTGAATGAATTTGTAAGAGCTCCTCATGTAGTAGTATTTTCTTAATGCTGTCAGATGTTGCAGTTTTCTTTTATATTTATTGTATGTTTGAATTTTACCCTTTTTGACAAAACTCTGAATTTTTAAAATTTTTTTTATGTTAAAAATTACCTTTTCCCACCACAAATGTGGTAAATGTTTTCCTGTGTTTCTTCTAATTCGTTTATGGTTTCATTTTTTTTTTTGTACCTACCAATTTAATGTTGCTGGTACTTATTTTATTACATAAAGTAGAAGTCAAATCTAATTTTCTTCCAGCCACTTGACTCTTCCAACATCATATCCCAGTGTTTTGATACATTATCTTCATCTTAGTTATGAAATTGTGTGTTAATGTCAGTTTATGTACTCTATAGTCTATTCCACTGTTTGGCCTGTCCCTGCAGTAGTACTTCACTATTTTACTTATTGTTAATTCTGTTTATTATTATGATAATACTTACTGCAAGTCTGCTCTGCTCAGGTGGGGATGGGGGAGTATGCATTGATGAGTAAGATCAATTCCAAGGCTCTGCTTTCATAACAATTTATCAGTGTTTGGTTTTATAAGTTTGCCAATTTCTCTTTACTTCAGAATTTTTCTTTACTAGTCTTTTCTATTTCTCTTAATGAATTTTGGGATTACTTTTTCAGGTTCCTCCTAGTATTTTGAGGGTTTGGCTGCAATTTAATTATATATTAAACATTTTTAAATTGATAGGTGGCTAACTAATTTACTATGTTTGAGCTTTACATTTCACAAAGATAATACTTTTCTAAGCTGCTTTTTTTTTAATCCTTCTGTGTACTTTTTAAAGGTTTTCTTCATGTAGGGATTACTATTTCTTTCCCTTGTTAAGAGCATGTGTCAGTGTCTCCATTATCAGCTGTACCCAGCTCAACTCCACATGTCTTGTAAATCATTCTTGTCATATTCCATGTAAGATTGGCTGACAGTTTTAAATATCAGTGTTACGAACTCAACTTTTTTCTGAATCACCTTAGTTCAGTGGTAGGTAGGAAGAGGTGGAATGGTGGCCTGCAGCCAGGGGCCATCTCAGCGGGCACTGTTCCCTTGAAATCTTTTTACCACAGGAGAAGTATAGCACAAGAAGGGAATACTCAGACCTGGTTCCTTCTGTTTAATAGTGTGGTTTTAAGAATTCAGAGGAATAGGTCTGAATTAAAAGAATGAATTTGGGAATGAACACTACAAACGGGAAGTAGGAAAAAGGAAGAAATGTTAGTAGAAGACAGCAGAATAATACATATTAATAGATAAATTCTGGGGAAGAAGGATGAGAAACATTAATATTTTAATTTTTTTCTTAGGGAATCAAGTATGAGTCTATAGAGACAACCAACTACAGTTTAAAGTTTTGTTTAGTCTTTCATATAAATAAATAGATGTGAAATGAATTTAAAATACACATAAATAAGATGCAAATGTATGTATACATGTATAAAATGAGTACATATGAATATATACATCCATAAAATGATTACATATATGTGTGTATATATGGTATACATACTTTCCAGGTCATTGCCCTTAAGAGTGTGGTCTGCAGAGTGCTATAGGTCTATGAGAAGAAGAGAAAATGAGAGAGAGCATTTTGAAAGCTTAACAGCAATTTGACTTTGCTACAGCCTTGTTTTTCTTACATTTTACCAAATTATAGGTCTGCGATGTATCAGAAACTTTTTCACCATCAGGTGTTCTTTGCTTATTAGAATGGGTGTTTATATGTTAATTTGTCTTGTGCAGGGTGTGGCCGGAAATCCTATGGTGAAATCTGTGCTTGATAAAACAAAACATTCAGTAGAAAGCATGATTACGACGCTGGACCCTGGCATGGCCCCATATATCAGTATGTACCTAAGATAGAGCAGCATCTGCCATATGTTTTTAAAGTATGTGCCTTTGTCAGCTGCTTATTGTGATTCCATAGTCTTGTAATCAATGGAAATCCTCTTATGTGTAAGTTGACTGTAAGTCTTAGTGTTGGTGTTATTAATTTATCTTTTTCTGAGTCACATAAATTTTGAAAACTCTACAGAATGAACTTTGGAAGGAGTAAAACCAATATCCTTAGTATGCTAATTAGTATACTTCAATTAAAAGCAATATATTTTAATTATAAATACAGTTAGTGTTGCTGTGTATGAATTTTACTGTTTGCTATTGACATTTGAAGTGATGCTTTGTTTATGTTTGATTTTGATAGTTGTCCAATTACCTATCTTCATGAAATGTGATTATGCTTAGCTTGAGAATAATATTTTTGGAGGAAATTAATCTATTAATGAAATCTGATTAGTAGGTTTGTGGGAGATTTTAACCACCTTTGAATCCTCCTTACCAAGAATCCTCCAGATAGCTGACATAGACACACATGCTGTCTGCCATTTAATTTTGAACGTATGTCCAGTATGTGAAGAAACTTAATCGCTTAGCAGGATCAGTGAACAATTATTAGTCATTCTGTTAAAAATAATAACTTAAAAGCCAAAGCCATGTACTAGGTACTAGAACAGACATTTTCAGTAGCAATAAAAAAAAATCAGTAGCTTTCAGGGATCTTAATGCTATTTTAGTTTACGTTTTAGTAAATGTCAAAGGACAAGATCTAAGAGTAAGAAGTATCGTTTATTAAGTGCTTGCTCTGCCAGGCAGGATTTCTCTTAGGAACTTTGGAAAGTAAGTATTTTCCTCAAGTTTGAGGTGAGGAAGCCCTGGGTTCAGAGTGGTTATTAACCTAGGTCACACAGCTGGGTAGAGCTGGATTGAACCCCTGTTCAATTTATTTTTTACACTTGGCCACTTTGCTTCCATGAAAGTAGAAAATTGAATCAAGTATTAAATCAGCTGAATTGTTCTTTGCCTTTGTAACTGCCAGAGGATTTAGAAATTAGACCCTACGATAGATACTGGCTTCATGTCTTCATAGTAATCAAGTGTGACATTATTAATGCGTCATATGTAGTCTTTTCTTCACAAGTCCATATTTTGAATGAGGGAAAGAAAGGAATTAGTATTTTTGGAGCTGTTGCTATTTTAACGAGTACTGTGTTAGATTGTGAAAGCAGTTGTTGAAGCCTTAGAACGAGCTCTGTGATGTGGCAGATACTTTTCTGTGAAGAAGTAAACTCAGTGACTTCCCCAAGGTAGTGAAGCTAATAAAATCAGGACTCAAACCCGAGGCTTTTTCTCAGACCAGTAGTCTGCCTGACAGCAAGAGAAAGGCGGAAGATGAAGGGGATGGGGTTACGAGGGAAGATACAAAATCTATTTCACTATTAGTGAGTATCATAACAATATATAGTCTTAATCAGTTAGCTGTAAGAAGCAATAAAACGGATGTGAAAAAGTTGACTCCTTATTGATAGTGAAAGCAAGCAAGACCATTCTGATGTAAGAAAACTGGTATTAAGGTATTTTTACAGAAATATTCTAGAAATCACTTTAATAGATTTAGATGTATCAAGAAAGCACAGGAACTGTTAGAAGTGGATTTTAACACAGTTCAGCTTCCTGCATTCTTATAATTACTTTTCCTGTCATTGTTAAAGGTGGCACTGCTCATCACAAAAAGGCTGAAAAAGTCTCGTGAGCTGCAGTTTAATGAATGGTATTCAGCCAGGGTCAAGAGATATGTCCCACATGGAGAATTAAATGAGGAAAAATGTATATTTGTTTTCTTCTCTTCCATGGGACTCCTTGCTTTCAGGTTTTAGTAACCTGAAATTCTAGTAAAGATGGGATCTGTAGATCACCTTATTAAGAAAAAAGATACATGATAATAAGCCCACATATTCTGAAGATAATATCAGCTATTCTACAACATATTATTAGGGAAAAACATAGCATTGTTCTAGAGGCAAAATGTTTTACCATACTAAAGCTTTCATGATAAATCTATTTTACTAGTGATAGCCAATACTGCTGTGTAGCAAAATGTGCTGTGCTCAGAACTAGGTCTTTGAACTCAGTATGTCACAAAATGTTAGGTAAAGATTTTTAGAAATAATTAGTTGTATTCGATCAGATAACTCTGAATGGTATGTAGGGTTTAAAAATAATTGGAATAATAAAAATGGTTTAAAATTTTTATTTCATATTCTTAACCTTTTTAAATTTCAAGTTTTGTATATGTTGGTATTTCCATTTTCTTATATACGTGCATATTAGGATAGTAATGTTTAATTTATAACTAAATAGCCCATTTATTTGTGACATCTGGGTTTTTTCTCTTAGTGATGCAGAGCGTGATAAAAAAATATGATAAAAAATGACTGCCACATTTGAACTGTTTTCTAGATAAAAAGCACATTTCATGACAGTCCCTGTTTAGTGCAGACTTCTTTACAACTCTTTGACAAGTTACTTCATCAGTAACAGTCTTTTCATTTCCTATAGCATACCCTAAATGTATTACTTGTATTTCACAAGCCACACGGTTCATTTCTGTGATTGCTCAATAATTTTAAGTCCTGGGAACTCTAGCATTCCTATGGTATTAGAAGTTTGTGTATAATAGATGTGTATCTTTATCAACCAACAGCAGAAAAACCACTTTGATTTGCAGCCTTAAAAATGCAGTGTTTTACCCAAAGTTTAAGCTTGCCAGAAAATGAGATCTTGTGAAAATAATGGAGTGTTACAGTAGAAAATTGAACTTTTTTCATAGCTGTTAATAACATTATTTCCCAAATTGATATCTCTGGAAAGTGGTTATTAGATGTTAACATTCCATCAACATTTTAAGTATGGAAAGTACTGGGATAAGATCATGAATTTTAACTTTCGGTTTTCTCAGAATCTTGATGTTAATGTTCACTGTGAATTTCCAATAAAGAATATGTAAAGCATCTCCCAAGCTTGTTTGACCACAAAATGCTGTTGTAAGAGGGAGCTACTAATATATTCTGGAACAGTATTCCATAGAAAAAAAAAACTGTTGTGTTCTATCTGTGGCAGATGGGATACTCAGAATCATTAGAAGGTATATGTACTGTCTTCTGCCTGCAGATGACACTCCCTCGGATAATGCATTAAATGCTCATTTTTAAGTCAGGAAAATTTGGCAGTTTGAGTCGGAGGACTTGGAAAAAGATGCTTTTAGATAAAGGGGTGAAAATGTGTGTAATGGATCAGCTGTGTATTGAAAAGAGGATTTCGGAGTGAGACAGTCATAGGTTTGAATCCTGATGACATCATTGCTGAGTAGTTGTATTTCCTTGAGCAAGGCCTTATCAGTCTTAGCTTCCTCAGCCTGTAATAAAGTTCATCATCTTTATCTTGACAGTATTTTGTGAGGTTAGTAGTAACAGTGTTAGCGTATGGTATTGCTTTATGGGAATTTCATTATTTTAATTTGGAATTGAAATTTTCTTATCTTTCTAGAATCTGGAGGTGAACTGGATATTGTAGTGACTTCAAATAAAGAAGTAAAAGTTGCTGCCATCCGAGATGCCTTCCAGGAGGTCTTTGGCTTAGCTGTGGTCATAGGGGAAGCTGGACAGTCCAATATTGCCCCACAGCCAGTGGGCTATGCGGCTGGTTTAAAAGTGAGTAATAGAACACCTTTTCCAGCATAAGGAAGTTGGCAGTTAGTTTTTTCATAATTCTCATAATAATCTTTTGGTCTTTATGACGCTCTAATGGGTTTTTACATTCTGAGGTATTGATCATCTGGGTGTTTATTTAGATAACTGTTGTTATGAAAATACAGTGGAGTTTTAATTTAAAGAAACTCAGGGTAGGGCACGTGGGTGGCTCATGGTTTAGCGTCTGCCTTCAGCTCAGGTCATGATCCCGGGTCCTTTTGCTTAGGTTTCTGCCTCTCTCTCTCTCTCTCTCATGAATAAATAAATAAAATTGAAGGAAGGGAAGGAAGGAACGAACTCAGGGTAGGTTTTTATGATTGGGGAGGGAAGGAAGCACATGCAGAGAACACAGAGAGTAGCTAGTCCTAAAAGAAATTTTAAACCATTGCTAACCCTTAAGTCATACTGAATTTAAAAGTTTTATACTGAAATTATGATATCCCTTGAATTCTCTAAGCTTTTTATTATTATCTCTCTTAATAGTACTTTACATTTAAGTATTTCTTCCTGGTTTTGGGGACTCTAACGTATTGGAAAGTTTCCAGAGTGGTAATGGGGTTCCATTAGGCGGGTTCTAGATTGACCCTACAAGTTTCCCTCTTTCTTCCCTTGTACTTGGTGAAGGAACGCAGCACTCATCCACAAAGCTTTTCCTTGCTTTGATTCTTCCCCTTCTCCCTTTTCCATCCTTTTAATTCCCTTGCTTTAAAGACCTGACTACCTGGCACCTTATAGGTATGTATAATATCCGTATATAACCAGAGTTTGCCGGTTATATATAATATAATATAATATAATATAATATAATATAATATAATATAATATAATATAATATAATATAATATAAACCATCACCGGTTTCCTTTTGAGAGGAAAATGAGGCAGATTTACATTATCCAGTATATCTTGTCGATTACATTTTTTTTTCATATGCAACAGCTGCCTCTTCATTCACTGGTACTAGATTTACACCATTGAGATTCATAACATGAGTGATAAAAATTTTTAAGAAGGCATTTATTTCTTCCCTTGTTCATTTTTTCATGAAGTATGTTCTAATTGAATGTGTCTTGGGTATTAGTATGCGTGGTACTAGAGAGATAAGGGTAAACAAAATACAGTCTTGATGTTAGTATAGTTTAGTTCTTACCTTCTTTTCTCCTTAATCTTTATAAGGTAAGTTCTTAAATTGGTTTATCCATTTTCATGCCTTTTTGCTTTCTCTTCTTTATTTCTGTTGTCTCTGAGATAAGTTTAGTTGTCTCCAGAAGTGTCCTAGCTTTTGAAATTTTCATTTGTTAAGAATTGACCACTTTTTCTCATTCACTCCTTAGCTCTACTGTCCATAGTAAAAATAGTTTAGCCTATCATCCCTGGTAGTTTCATTCAAAAATAGTATGCATTTTGCCTTTTGACACACTTGCTGTCACTTCCCTTATGATCACTGTTTATGAAGTGATTCAGATAAAGTAGTAAATAAATAGCAGCTTTACTAAAAACATGTAGTTTTCTACTGTAAGAATGTATTGACGATTTTGAGTTATCTTTATAGTATTCTAAACCCCTCAGTTTTGTGCATAATAGTTTTTTTTTTTTTTTTTTTAAGATTTAGTTTATTTTTTCATGAGAGACAGAGAGAAGCAGAGACATAGACAGAGGGAGAAGCAGGCTCCTCACAGGGAGCCCCTGTGGGACTCGATCCCCAGACTGGGATCATGCCCAGAGCTGAAGGCAGACGCTCAACCACTGAGCCACCCAGGTGTCCCAACAGTTTTCTTTCTTTTTTTTTTTTTTTTCCAACAGTTTTCTTAAATAAGTTTCGGTGCAGTATATTCACAGTTGAAAATAAATCAGCTGTCATTTTGGTGCATATTTTAAGGCTGTGTTTAAAGGAAATAAGCAAGAAGAAAAAAAAATTTACTTTGATACAATTGCCTACTTAGGGAACTCAAGAGAAAATTAAATAAAAACTACTAGGACTGAAGAAAGATTTTTATCAGTAAGATAGCCCTTGGCAGATCAACATTAAGTACATAGTTTCATTGTATTAGTAATAACTAACTAGAACATTAGTATAAAAATAATACATTTCATAGTAGCAAGCAAAATGATAGTGTATGTGGGAATAATTTGGAGTTGCTATATAAACTGTTAATGCTGAAGGGAACATGCTTGCACGTTTTTGTTAATTGTATTGTTTGAATAGTTACAGTGGGTATATAGGTGACCATATCTAAATATATTTGTATTACTTATATAATCATAAATTAGCATATTCAGTACTTAATAATTGGAAGTGGTTTCTAACCTGTGCTTGTCATTCAGGGCGCCCAGGAACGGATAGACAGCTTGCGTCGAACTGGAGTCATCCATGAAAAACAGACTGCTGTGTCAGTAGAAAACTTCATTGCGGAATTGCTACCTGACAAGTAAGAGGCTTTTTTTTTTTTCAACATAATTACAAATGTTTTCTTTTTTATTTTTTTATTATTTTTTTATTTTTTTAATTTTTTATTTATTTATGATAGTCACAGAGAGAGAGAGAGAGAGGAGGCAGAGACATAGGCAGAGGGAGAAGCAGGCTCCATGCACCGGGAGCCTGATGTGGGTTTCGATCCCAGGTCTCCAGGATCGCGCCCTGGGCCAAAGGCAGGCGCCAAACCGCTGCGCCACCCAGGGATCCCCAATTTGTTTTCTTTTAAGAGAACTCTCAAGACCTACCCTCTTAGCAATTTTCAGATATGTTAATTAATTAATATTATTACAGTATTATAAATTATAGTCATTTTGCTGTACGTTTTATCTTCATGACTTATTTTATAACTGAAAGTTTATGTCTTTTAACCCCTTCACTTAGTCCCCGCCCCCCGCCCTGCTGACCATAAGTCTGTTCTTTGTATCTTTGAGTTTTTTTTTTTAATTCATGTAAAAATGAGATCATATTTGTTTTCTCTGACTTCCCTTAGTATAAGGCCCTGAAGGTCCATTTATATTGTTGCAAATGAAAAGATTTCCTTCTTTTTTTCATGTCTGAATAATGTGTGTCTATATTTATGTATACATACATAAGTTTTTAAATTCATCCTTCCATTGATGTCATTTGTTTCCATGTCTTGGTTATTGTAAATAGTGCTGCAGGAAACATAAGTTGGGGGCGGGGTGGTGGTGCATGTATCTCTTCAAGGTAGCGTTTTCATTTCCCTCAGATAAATACCCAGAAGTGTTGGGGATCCCTGGGTGGCTTAGTGGTTTGGAGTCTGCCTTTGGCTCGGGGCGTGATCCTGGAGTCCTGGGATCGAGTCCCGCATCAGGCTTCCTGCATGGAGCCTGCTTCTCCTCTATCTGTGTCTCTGCCTTTCTATCTGTGTCTCTCATGAATAAATAAATAAAATCTTAAAAAAAAAAAAAAACAATACCCAGACGTGGAATTTCTGGATCATATAGCTCATTTAGTTTTTTGAGGAACCTCCATATTGTTTTCCATAGTGGCTGCACCAGTTTACATTCTCATCAAGGGCTTGCTTTTTCTCCATATTTTTTCCAACACTTTGACTTTTGATAATAGCCATCCTAACAGGTTTAAGGTGATGTCTCATTGTGGTTTTGATTTACATCTCCCAGATGATGAGTGATGTTAAGCATCTTTTCATGTACATGTTGGGCATCTCTATGTCTTGGAGAACTATTTGGAGCCTCTGCCCATTTTTTAATCACATGGTTTTTGGTTTGTTTTTTTTTTCCTCGAATTACTGGGTTTTTGATAAATTTTAGATGTAAACACCTTATGAAGTATGTGATTTTGTGGATGTTTTCTCCTCTTCAGTAGGTTGCCTTTTCATTTTGTTGATGGGGTTTCCTTTGCTCTGAGAACCTTTTTGGTTTGATGTAGCCCTGCTTACTGATTTTTGCTTTTTTTTGCCTTTGCTTTTGGTATCAAATTTCAAAAAATTATCATCAAGACTAGTATTAAGCAGCTTATTCTCTCTTGTCTTCTAGGAGTTTTATGGTTTCTGGTCTTAAGTTCAAGTCTTGAATCTATTTGAGTTATTTTTTGTGTATGGTGTAAGTAGTCCAGTTTCCCCAACACCATTTATAGTATAGACTGTCCTTGCCCATTGTATTCTTGGCTCTTTTGTTGTAAATTAATTGGTCATGTAAGTGTGGGTTTATTCCTTAGCTCTCCATTGTTAGATTGATCTATTATGCCAAAACCATACTATTTTGATGAGTATAGCTTTGCAGTATAGTTTGAAATACATTTTGAAATCTAGGAGTGTGAACCTGCTGCTTTTTCAAGATGGCTTTGGCCATTCAGGATTTTATGGTTCCATACAAATTTTAGGGTTCTATTTCTCTGAAAAATGCCATTGGAATTTTGATAAAGATTGCATTGAATCTGTAGATTGCTTTATGAATAGAATAGTATGGGCATTTTAATAATTTTAATTGTTCCAGTCCCTGAGCCTGGGATATCTTTCCATATATTTGAGTTTTCGATTTTTTTCATCAGTGTTTTATAGTTTTCAGAGCAGAGCTCTTTCACCTTCTTGGTTAAATCTGTTTCTCAGTGTTTTGTCCTTTGGATGCGATTTTAAGTGGTATTGTTTCCTTAAGGTTTCCTCTTCATAGTTTATTAGTGTATACGTATCTGTAGATTTTGGTGTATTGATTTTTTATTCTGCAGCTTTTCTGAACTCATTTATGAGTTGTAAGGTTTTTTTTTTTTTAAAGTCTTTAGTGTTTTTGGTATACAATATGTCATATAGTATAATAGGCACAGTTTTGTCACCATTTTACTTCTTCCTTTCCAATTTGGATGTGTTTTATTTGCTTTTCTTGCCTAATTGCTCTGGTAAGAGGCAGTTCAATACCGTATTGAATAATAGAAGTGGAAAGAGTGGGCATCCCTGTCTTGTTCCTGATCTTAGAGAAGAAACACTTTCAACTTTTCATTGTTGAGTGTGATACTAGCTATGGACTTGTTTTATGTGGCCTTTATTATATTGAGGTACATTCCTTCTAAACCTGTTTGGAGAGTTTTTTTTTTTTATCATTAACAGCTGTTGAATTTTATCACCTGCTTTTTCTGCATGTATTGAGATAATCATATGATTTTTATTCTTGATTTTGTTAATGTATCGCGTTGATCGATTTGTGGATATGGAACCATTTCTGTGTCTGAAAATTTTTACCTCTGTGTTTCTCAAAGAAATTGGCCTTTGATTCTCTCTTCTATGCTGTGCTTGTCGGGCTTTAGTATCAGGGTAATGCTGGCCTTGTAAAATGAATTTGGAGTGTCTCTTGTTTTCTATTGTTTTGGAAGACTTTGAAAAGGATTGGTAGTAATTTTTCTTTAATATTAACTTTTCTTTACATGTTCGGTAGAGTTTGCCAGTGAGGGTGTCTGGTCCTGACTTTTGCTTGTTGGGAGGTTTTTGATCACTAACTAGAATCTCTGTACTAGAAATCGATCTTTTCAGATTTTCAATTTCTTTATGATTCAGTCTTGATAGGTTGTATGTTTCTAGAAATGTATACATATATTCTAGGTTGTCTAGTTTGGTGGCATATAAATTATTCAGCAAGAGGCTTATTTTTTCTTACTAGCAAAATACGATTATTCCTGGGGGCTGGCACTGTATATACCTAGTAAAAAAAAATGTATCCTATTTTAGAGAAAATTATGTTTTGGATTAATTTGGCTATATTGTTTAAGTAGCTTTGTGATCTCTGTAGCCTAACACGTTGCTACTCAAGTTTCTCCTTTTTAATTATAAAATGGAGATAGTAATGCCTGGATCAATAAGATTGGGTGAACAATCACTGAATATAATAGCACTAAATTTGAGAGATTACAATGCTGTATTGGCTTATATGTAATTGACCACCAGTAACCAACACCGTTATTCACACAGTTATTCAGAATAATGGAAGGCATGGGCACAGAGCCTAGTGGCAAGTCACCACGTTTGAGATATGTTGAGCAATAAAGCATGTCTACTTAATTTGGAAAATATTCAGAGAACATGATTCATTATGGTCTGTAAGGTCTTTATACTTTAAATAGATGGCTTTTTTATGGTAGAAGTTATTTTTAACATGCTGAAACTATTTATACTCAAAGAGCTTCCCAACTGTTGAAATCTGTCTCTTTTGTAATCACATTGTAGTTTTGTTATATTTTTTGTTTATTTAGTATCAGGTAGCACTGTGCCTAATACTTTATGGCTATAGTCTGTAAAAAACGTTCTCCAACTTTGAGGTTGTACTGTTGGCCAGTTGGGAGAAAATAGGTACACAGATAAACAGTTTTAAGTGACTGTATAAGATAGTGTATAATTTTTTGCTGATGGGAAATGTTACTTAACAATTCAAGGGGAAATAGCTCAGTGTGGAGATAGTGTCAGATGAGATTTGTGAGTGATTAGGACTTGGACTGGATTGTGATTGTGAAGAGTGGGTAAAATTTAGTTAAGTGGAAAGAATAGGACATTCTGAGTGGAGGAAGTTTGAAGATGATTAAGAGGATTCTGGGGTCAGAGGTTAGTTACTAGCTTTGCCAGTCATTCATTGGATTAGGAAATCTAGAAATGGTTTGGAGACAGATGTGTGAAGAACTTTGAATGGTAGGGTGAAAAGGTTGAACTTTCTGTGTAAGCACCCAGGAGCCACCCAGTGATCATTACTTCATTTTTCCTCTGTCTTAACCTTTTACATTTCATTTGCTGGTTACCTTAGAGATTACAGTCTTTTTTTTTAATAATTAAAATTGTGTGCTCTTCGGCCACTCTCTGGCCCGATCTCCCTTGGCGTCCGACTCTGCAATCAGTCCTGCACCATGGGGAAGCAGGACAGTCAGGTGGCCTATATGAACCCAATAGTAATGGCCAGATCAAGGGGTCCAATATAGTCTTCTGGGCCAACAATCCAAGATTATCTAGGTTATCTAAACTGACCAAGTCCTACCTGGGAAGAAGTGAAAGAACAACTAGAAAAGAAGAAAGGCTCCAAGGCATTGACTGAATTTTAAGAAAAAATGAATGAGAACCGGAAAAAAGAACTAGAAAAATACAGGGAGAAATTATTAAGTGGAAGTGAGAGCTCATCCAAAAAAAGGAGAAAGAAAAAAGAAATCTGGTAGATATTCTTCTTCATCAAGCTCTGATTCTTCCAGCAGTTCTTCGGATTCTGATGATGATAAAAAACAAGGGAAAAGGAAAAAGAAAAAGAACCGTTCACATAAATCTTCTGAAAGCTCCATGTCAGAAACGGAATCCTACAGTAAGGATAGTTTAAAAAAGAAAAAGAAGTCAAAGGCTGCAAATGAGAAAGAAAAGGACATTAAAGGACTCAGCGCCCCCCCCCAAAAAAAAGATGTATCCTGAAGATAAACTATTATCATCTGAGTCCTTATCAGAATCAGCTTATA